TGGTGTTCGAAGTGTAAGAGGAAAAAAAAAAAACTGTGTGTGTGTGTGTGTGTCTATATAACTCATGTTATAAAAACTCATGTCACTAAAAACGATCCCTGTCCACACTAAAACACACATTTCAAATCAGGTCCTCGTAAGTTATTCCATTTTAAGGTGAAGATTTGTTTTAAGGTCGTGGGAAAGTGAAGCTCAGGGTGAGTTAGTGTTTATGGTTGAGTGTGTGAGCGGTTACCAACGGTTTCAGTCTCAGCAGCAAGTTACAACAATTGTTCTCTAATGAATAATTGTTGTAACTTGTGTGTCACTTCATGTGCACAACACGTATTGACTTGTTTTCAGTTTATGAATTTATCTGTTCCTGCGACATCCCAGAGAAAAGGGGAACATTTTCAGACGTTTCAGCAAAATGTAAAAAAATACAAACGAAACAAATAAAAAATCTTTTTCCTTCTTACAACAGAAAACAAAAAGGAAATTGTGCCAAATCTGAAGAATTTACAAGTTTTTATTGCTGGTTAGAAATAAAACACTTCAAATGGTCGTAGACCCACAAAATGAATATAAACCTCAGTGTTAAAATAATAATAGAAGTAACCAGATGAAATAGGTTGAAAACACATATTTAACAAACGCCTTCGGGGTAAGTAAAATAAAATGCATGTAAATATATCAAGTGTCACCGATATCTTTCAAAGCTAAAATCAAATTGAAGAGGAAATTTATAAACTTGAAGAAAATAAATAAAAAGCTAAATCAGATCAGTGAGATGCGTGTGTTTGTTTACATCATAGTAAAATACAGTGACTGCACCTGATGCACTGTTTAGTTCTCAGTGTTCTGTGTAGTGACATCTTAATTAGGAGATCACATGTTTGGATACTCAGAGAACACACACACACACACACACAGGGACACACACACACACACACACTCTGTCTGCCACCACCAGTATAAATACTTTATACCCACACATAACCACATTTCACCAACATGTCCAACCACACCAATGAGCCCACCCTGACTCTGCATCCAAATCCGCCAACCCGACCGACTCTAATTTAGCGTTTCAAGTAGCTGTGTGGCACCAGGGTGGCAGAGTGGCAGGGTGGCACCGCCGAGGATCTGTGGGCGTCTACGCTGCTGCCTGTTGTCTGCCAGGCTTCAAAAGCAGCCTCTCATTTAGTTTGGTGAAGAATGCTTTATTTTACACACAGTCGCGTCTCACTTTGCTTTAATTCCATCACTTTATTTTATTAGGATTCGAGTGCCAGCATGAGAGAGGGGTGGATGTGGAAGATCCCTCTGGGATCACGAGTGCTCGGAGAATAAGCTCCGACAGAAGAGGCAGAGGACGGGTCACTGCGAGGGAAGATGTGTGATTTAAAAAACACTGAAATCAGGGAGACATCAGCCACAACGTAGATTAAAAAAAAGACTTTGTCCGTATAGTTTCCTCCATTAAAAGAGCGGTCGATGTATTTTCACAACATAAATCTGGTTTTTACTGAGTGAATATTCCTCAATGCTCTTTCTGCCTCACGACAAACGTCTCCTCCTGTTTCTTCTTTTCTTTTACTGGGAATCAGTCGTTTTACTGACAGTGATCTGATCATGCAGGTGCTGCGTCACTGAGCTCAGATCATTCAGGAACAAAGAAATGAAAACAGCAGCAACGCACACAAACCTTCCTCAGTTCCATCGATGGGAATTTAAATGTCGGGTTTCAATTTCAGCTTTATATTTTTGGTGCTTTTGTACGAGTGGCTGTGGTGATTTAAAATAAATCACTGTGACAATATTAGTTCATATCAATATTCATATCACATCAGGAGAAATAGAATATCACCAGCAACAAACTGATTTATTTCTTACAAGCTGTGAGAACTTAGATTTCTTACATGTTTGATCCAAACGTGTTGAAATAAAACACATCTT